TCAGCAGCACCCCGCTGTGAGCATCAACGTTCGGCCATGGGTTCTTGACCTATTTCAAGCACCATCCCCAAGATTCATAAAATCGGGAGAAAGGGATTCCGGGTTAGTAAGAAAAACTAATGTTTGATGACCCAAATGATTTGAATGACACGATACGATTCATCGTGCAGGATTTCAAGATGTATATTGGTGCCATGAAATTGTTGTCCGAATATTGAAGATTCAAACAATACCTTGCCAAGCTCGGTTAGGACAGGGGGCACCACCTCATACAGCTTTGAAACCTATTAATTCGAAAGCTTAATTAGCCGATGATTGAGTTATTGAAACATTAAGGACATGTCACATAAGGGCAAGAAGAAGTACCAGCTGGAAAAGGGGGTCATCGGGTAAATGTTTCAGGGCAAACTCTCTCTGACACATATATCTCGGATCAGTCTTACGAAGAACGCCATGGCCGAATCCCGGAACGACCTGCAGAACAAAAAAGACATCTATCATTGTCAGTTTCAGATGTCCTAACAGTGCCAAAATTCTGCACAGGATCATGTCAGCTGGTTTCAAAGTTGCTTCCGGCCAGACAAGCGAAAAAGCCGAGTAGAGCGGCTTCACGGTCTTACCTTGCCACTGTTTAATGTTTTCCAGACATAGTCTTTCAACTGTTCTTTGGTAATATTTTCTCCACATTCCTCGACAACTGATTTGATCCAAAGCAAAACTTCCTGCAACCCAAACAGAGGGTAAAAGAAAAGACTCAAGATTCTGCCATTCATGTCATGTGTATGATTCCGCACCCTCTAATTCGGTTCTACCAAGAAATCACCACAAGCTCGCCAATTAACATACAACATTAGAATATTCATGCAACACTGCCGCATACACTTGCTTGAAGTTTGTAAGGCTCGTTTAGGACAGATAGGGTACCTGATTGGCCAAGCCATGGAGTGGCCCAGCTAAACCATTTAATGCAGCTGCGAATGAAAGATACGGATCTGAAAGAGCACTGCCGACCTGAAGACAAGAATATCATTAGCAATAAAATGAACCGTCAGAACGGCCAAAGACACGGACCAAAAAGGTAAGAGAATGCACAAAGAACAGCAGATGGAAGTCACATCAAGAAAACCGTAAATTCACAGTTGATAGATAGCAAGAACGTGTACACATACCAGGTGACCAGTGTGTGCACTAACATTTCCGCCTTCGTGATCACTGAAATGAAAACCAGCAGAAAAATCCTTGATCATGTTAAAGCACTGTTACTAAAGTTGGTAAATAAAATAGATCAATATAAAGAAATTACAAAAAAAAGGTTTTTTATATCAATTTGAAAAACATCTACAAAAACAAATAAAATCAACACAAACCTATGGATAGTGACATAGAGCCTCATCAGCTCTTTCATTTGAGGATCATCAAATCCCAACATGTGTGAGAAATTTGCACCATAATCGAATGAATCGTCTGAGGCAATGGTATCGCCACCTTTATACATCCTGCCATGGTATATGTAAAGGTAATTCAAGGACAACAGCAGGGAAAGAAGTAAACTGTTCCACAAAAGACACTACCAAATGCAAAAACATTTCCTCAGGCTGTCACATGAAAACAGAAACCTTCACTAACCTCCGATAAACATAGGAAGCCACCACAGGAACACGAGCAATCAGGTTGAGGCAGTCTTCGTAAGTTGGTTCCCAGTACCTGTAAGACAAAACCCATGTTTGCGATAATGCCAGATGAGAAGATAGATTATCAAGAATAAACTAGAGACCGTGACAAAAGATTTTACTTTGACTTATGAATTCCCTTCTCATATGCCTTCTGAAACTCGCTTTGGACCTGGACGAGGACGACAACTCAATATATAACTATCATGCCGCATAAAGATGGAGATTAATTACTTGAAGCATAGAAATAAATTGCACAAGAAAGAAAAAAAACAAGCGAATAACAAATCAAGTTCAGTGGACCACCGACCTGGAGGGCCATAACACCACTAGCAAATTGAGTCATTGGATGAGCCGTTGAAGGCAGAGCATCAATTGCCTTGTAGACATAATCTGCAATGGAAATTGAATATCAAAACTGTTCCTTCGTTTCAGTTTAACGATTTTTCAGGAAATGGCTTCATATTATTGTTTCAACGAGCCAACAAATCGAATAGGCATCTGGTGCATTGAAAGCAGCCAGACTAGGAAGATGAACTATAGACCTGGGACAGTGGCTCGGGTAGCCAACTCTTTAGACAACGCATCAACTTGCTCTTTGCTAGGTACCTATCTCGGAAGTAGGGACAAAGGAGATTATAAGAAAATAATTTAAACCATAACTAAATCATCTGGAAATCTCCGACAACATCTTTGTATGAATTGTAAAGACTGCCCACCTTTCCAGTTAAAAGAAGCCACAGAAGACCCTCAGGCAAAGGCTCTCCCCCAGGCTGAGCAGCAGGTAATACTTTCTGGCATTCAGGAATCGACAAGCCCCTAAAGCGTATTCCCTGAAAATAAAAAACAGAACCCTCGTTATATTCCAAAGCGAAGATACAGCCAAATATGACTATACATCTATGGCAGAATATGTACCTCTTCTGGATCGAGCAACGAGGTTTCCCAGAGCAATCCAGTCATCCCCCTCATCCCACCAATTACCTTTAAAAATGTCACATACCAAGTCATAATATGATTTCTTCATATGAAAAAGTATTGATGATGACGAAACAGAAGAAACAATTTCTATCTCTGTACCATGTCGACCGTGATGTTTCCCAGTTGGACCTTGCCATGTTCTGACTTCAGTTTCTTAAGACGATCCTGAAAACCATAATCTTATGAGAAAAGTTGGAAACTAGAAACTCTTAGCTTATCTGCTCAAACATGAGAACAATCTCAAAACGCAGAACCATACGAATAAGTATAGGCATCTATATTCATGTCAATGTCACAAACACTACAACGGAAAAGATAACATCTTTCACTTGTATCCTTCCGGGATCTCATGTAGGAAAGACCATCACAGAGAACAAACCGATCTGAACAAGTTCCGACAGCTAGAAACAATGTCTGTAATAACTCTCCATAAAGTCATAGCTAACCTGCTGTTCTGGAATTAGCTCTTCCAGCTGAGACTTGAGGTCCTGCAGAGCCACCGTTTAAAGAAAGTGAACAAAACAAACATGAGAGCATAGCCCCGGAAGCGAAATTCACAGAATATGGATGAATTATATATCCTCTGGAAAGATTCCAATTTGAAAAGATCTTCTTCTCAATTCTGGGCTCATTCAAATTTGTTCCATTTGATGGTGTACTGGAGAAACTCAAGACTAAAGGCTGAAAACAACTACACAGTAAGATCCAAAAATAGTTGGCTTCAACCTAAATCGATCATTACCATGTCGGAAGCGCTCTGAATTTGGAGCCATCTGACCGAATTGCCAAGAGTAGATTGCTGCCCCTGCCATATTAGATTCCATCATCAATCGATCAAAACATCGAACAGATAGAACAAAAGGAAACAAGTAAAACCCATTTGCCAAAATTCGAATCCGAAAGTTGAATCACTCACGACACGAGACCGGAGCCTCGAGAGCGCCGATACGGTCCGAAAGAACACCATTCTTCAGATTGAAGCACGTAACCTATCGAGACATCCACCAAAAAACAAGCATTTGCTCAGATAAAGACGGTACGAGGAAAAGCGAAACAATCGACCATCACCGAATCGGAGAAAAAAAAGGTTGTATTTTCAATGCGAGAAATGTTCATCGCTAAACCTATAACTCGAGAAACAGGAAGTCGATCGCCGAACCCAATTCACCGAATATATTCCAGATTCCGGTACGAACAGGGAAAACGGGAAGAGAAGAGAGTACCGAGAGATTGCAGACGTGACGGAGAGAGAAAGAGAGACGTTGAATTTTATGCTGCGTGAAATATATATATAAACCCGGCGAGGACGAATAATGGAGGAATATTTTGCAGTCGTATGACTAAATTCCACATCAGGCCTCCACATTTTGGCTTTATTTCAAAATTGACCTTCCAGTACTTTGACAGGGCATCTGATTCTCTTAATAAAAACCAAAATGAACCGGAAACGGGTTTTCCAATTAAACCGGAATCATAATGCAATTCGGAAACCCTCAAATCATTGCGAAATTCAGCTCACTACGTACAAATAATCGTTCCTCTTCTTGTATGGTCCCTTCTGACGTGGGACGTTCAGAAAGTTATTGAAAAGCCGTGATTGGATGGGGAATTTCATCGGCACAGTCATAGAGAGTTTGGTCGTGATGCCTAATGGAATAAGGGTTTGGTCCATTTGCCTTTTCCTTCACGTAATCAACCATGGGTCATTACCTTTCAAACTCCCCCCCCCCTTTTGTGTATACTGTTTTATTTAATGCAAATATCTTTTAAAAGGAATTAGCTTCCCATGTCATATCATTTTTTTTGGAAAAATTTGAGATTTAAACTCGTGACGGAACAAACGTTTTGGTTCCATTTCACCGGTTGAATTATCCAAATTTGGGTGTTGGACCATTTCTTCGTTACTATCCGATTGAATATACTACTATATCACAAAAACTCACTAAACAATCACTCTTTCTGATTTATAAACTCGTGCAAAAATAAAACTAAAAACCAATCACAAATACATCAAGAACACAACACACATGCATTAGTACATACCAAGTTACATATTATGAGCCCTAACTAGGGTTTTTTTTTTTTTTTTTTTTTGGCCATTTTTGAATAAGTGAATTCTCCGATAAGGGCATGCACACAAAACTCTTCGTTACACTCTCTACCGACAAAAGTCATTCCACTAAGTTAAAAATCTATCTCCCTCGTGTACGTACCCATCAAATGGCACTGAAAATTCAGACGTACGTATATACATTCCATGCCTGTTTTCGACCGTCCTGAAGAAAGCATGGCAGCGTACGTCGTTGCCGTGCCTCAAACCGAAACTCGTGACCGATTAGATGCGGTCGATGCACAAAACCAGAGAACATGAAAACTTAACCCGAGAGATGAGATCGGTTTATGTTTATGAACCGAAAGATTGTACGGATTAAGGCAAGTAACCCTTTGTTTGATCAGAAGTGGAGTTGAACATGAAATCATGATCCATGGGAGAAGTTTTCATGGGAAATGGAGAGAAATCATCTTCGAGATCGATCAAACCCTCCAAATCAAAGTAAGTGTTTGAGTTCGAACACTCACCCAATGACCAATCCTCCTTCACAGTACCGTTGGCTAGCAACCCGGAAAATCGTGCAACCATGTTGACCTGATGATGATCAGCACCGTTCGGAGCCTGGTTTGTGATAACCGGGTTTTTCGGTTTGGCTCTCCTTCTTCCGGCTTTGGCCGCCTCGGCAGCCTGTTTCCCGGTTAGGCTCTGGACGAGGGCACGGAAGTTGTGGACGTCGGTCTTGATGATCTCCGGGGCAAATATATGGATTATACGAATCTTAGGCTTGATCTTGGTTATTACATGAGAGCTCTTGTTCATGGAAACCCTAGAACTAGGAGCTCCATGGCCTTGATGAGGAATTTGAAGATCATATTCGGATTTCATCGACTCTCTCACCATTCGAGATAAACAGAAGGAATCGATGATGTTGATGATGATGATAAAGTTCAGAAAAATTTTGGGAGTTTAAACAAATTAATGTGTTATATCATATGGTTTATCTGATGGTCGAGAATAATATATATATATATATATGGTGGATGTATTATGCATTAGAATATAAGATTGTTGGTTGGTCAAAACATTAATTAACTACAAACTGAATACGAAATTAATAAAAAAAATCATAAGAAGTAATAGCGATGGACTGCGCTCCATGATACACACAGCAACTAGCCTTTAATCAAATTATATATATATATATTATAATCTCCAAACCATAAAAAGAAAGTTTAATCCGTGCGTGGTACCAACTGCTGTTTTCTTTGTTAGTTTAGAAATCTAATGAAAGCCTACAGGCGGTTAATTTTATAGTTCAGAATCCATATGAAAATAATAATTCAGATTTATTATTTGTTATTAAATAGTTGAATTATTTTCTACCGATGAAATTTCAGACATGCTTGGTAGCCAACTAAAACATGGAAGATAGCTTCTTGTTTTCCCGATTTATTCGAATTTGAAAGAAAACATTAGATTATATTATATATTATTCACATAAAGTGTTTATAAATGAAAATTTTACGATTGACTAACCAATTCTAAGGTTAGACGAAGCATAAATGCATCAAAAAATCATGTTACATTTATAAAATAATCTGATGTCGAGACACCTCTAACTCTTAGAATATTTATATGATATATTTGCAACCACAAATTAATTGGACAGTGATTATGGGTTCGATTCAACTCTCCAACGAATCTGTCACCCTTTAAGTGATTTATCTATTTCACGTGATTTACAGACTATTACATAGAATCGGGGGTTTATCACCAAGCCCGAATAACTGTGGTTGGGTTACCGCAGAAAAACAAAATGGACAGTAAAATATAGTATTATAAAGGCCCACCAACGAACCACGAAAGAAACTCATCTCACGTGATATGTGTTCTTAGGTACGCGCACGTGGATCGTGCTTCGCGACAACATATATGCTGTATATATATATATATATATTCTAAAATTATAGATAAAATTGCTAATTGTCCCTAATAAATTTAAATTTATCCATAAATAATTATACTAAATTTATTATTGTCCTCAATTATAATCATTTTTGGGTCCACTGCTATATATATATATGTGTGTGTGTGTGTTTAGATAAATCATATGTGGAATACAAAAACACAAAAAAGAAGACCAAGGACTATATAATAAATGGATACAAAAAATTGTATGTATGTCATATTTTATTAGGAAAAACTTCGAATGCAGTAATAAATTATTATCTTTGTCAAATCTGATTCAGGATGTTGTCATAACCAAGAGATAAAAAACACGACCCGATCCTTACATTGCTTCGGTTTCATGGGTTGCATATCCTTTTCAACTTAAAAGTCATATCGCGCGGTGTAAGAATTCTATATATATATATATATATATATATATATATATACCAGAAAGAATTATATATATGTATGTATGTATATATATAGCACCGAGTAAGAAGACTTTCAAGTTGCGGAACTGCTTATAAAATTAGTTGACTTTTTACCAATGAGGCAAACAAGAGTGACAGCGTGGAATTAACCATTTGATATCAGTTGACTTTCCTAAAATATTTGAAAACAAAAGTTCTATTTGTTAGATTATTATAAGTTACAAACACATAAATATATATTTATCAAGTCACACACACGGTCGAATTTCAAGTTTCATTCGCTTCAAGTGAATATAATACAGACGCATTAATTATTCTAATTTTTGCCCAAAATTGTAACTATTAGTTTGTACCAATCAATAGTCATTCAATATATATATATAGTATTAATTATTAATTATTAATTAATAATTGTCCACAATAATGGCCTTCGTTCAACGTCATACGCAGATAGCGTACGGATTATTTCCGAAGTCATTGATGATGAATATTTCTTATTTTTTGTGATATTTTTTATATCTAATTTTACTCTAATCCAACTTTTATTTAAAAATAATTTATTTGTTATTCTTTTGTTTATTAATTTTACAATGTCACATTTACTTAGAAAAATTATAACCAAATATCATATATTTGAGCTAAATATGATCCCTGCTCGTAATATTTAATACCGTGACCATTTGGGGGTGTGGAGTCAAACTCAATTAATTGGCTATGCAACATTTTTAATATTTGCGTGTTTGGTAATATAAAACTCTATGAAACTTGACATTTGCAGAACGTTTTAAAGAAAATAACACCAAAAACATAAAATAATGATTATAGTCATTATTAAATTTTCATTACGCGTTCAACCAAAAAAAAAATCATTACGCGGACTCGGAACATAACTTCTATGTATGTTGAAGAATAACACAAATAATAATGACCGTGTTTGATTTTTTTAATATTATTATTATTATCGTCGTCGTCATCATCATCATCATCATCACCATCATCACCATTAGTATGATGGGTTTGGAACTCTAGAGAAATTTTGTTTCCACAGGCCCGAAGAGAAATTTTAAAAAAAAATCCCACTTGAAAACACGGTTTATAGAGTGTAATGATTTTTATTAGTCCGTACATCGGAATCAAACGTAGAAATCAAATCCTTTCATTGACACTTGAGCTAAAGGATCAATGGAAAGCCGAAGAGAAAAATAAAACACAGAAGCAAAAACTCTTGATTTTTCAGCAGCAATGGAAGCTTAAATCGTTCCGATAATGGTGTCGCTGTTCTCTTCCCTTATCCCATCAACTCTCAGCCCCGAGACCGTAAGCGAGATCTCTCGCTCCACCGTTCCCATCCCCAATCTCCGCCGCCGCTGCTGGTGCCGCCGCGCGATTCGCCTCAGAGCCCCACCGATTCCCGACCAATCGTCGCCGTCGCCGTCGCCGTCACCGCCGCCGTCCTCCACCTCATCACCTTCCATCGCTACCAGATCCGACAGCCGGATCCTCCTCTCCGCCTCCCGGCCGACACTCGCCGCGACGGGAAGCTCAAATCGGCAAAGCGGACACGAATTGTGATCCGACAACCACGGGATGATGCAATCCGAGTGGTACAGATGTGTGCACGGCAACCGTCGAGCGGATTCTCCGACCTCGAACTCCTCCTTGCAAACGGCGCAGAGCATGCAGGAATCGGAATCATCGCCGGAGCAGAGCATGGAGGACGAGATCTGAACGGTGGGGATCGAATCGATATCTGGAGACTTAGATGAAGAAGAAGAGGATCCGGAACTCTCGGAGGCGAGATGGCGGAGGAGACGTTGAAGGTAAGGGCTATCGAGGAGGAAATTATCGTCGGAGTTAACCGCAGGATCCACCAAACACCAATCCTCCTCCTCCTCTTCATCATCGTCATCGAAATCACCGACGCTAACATCAAAAAAGCTACAATCATCCATACCTTGGAGAAATTCGACGCGGCACTGGGGGCAGATTAGAGGCGAAGGATCTGAGGATGAAGAAAGGATCGCAACGCTCATATCGCATTCGTCGCACCAGTAAGTTCGTCGCTCCGGGAGGACGCCGTCGGCAGCGGCGGCGGAGGAGGAGGCCATTGGGGGAGTGGCGGTTGTGTAAAGGTGAGGGAAAGTAGAGCAAAATATAAGGAAAAGGGTAGGACGGAAGAACCAAAGCTGGTGGTTGCAAAACAAGTTATGATGGGTCCATGATTATTGGGTGATATACTCTTTTTGGATTTTATTGCTTCGTCTTTTACGCATAAAATGGATCTGGGAATTAAATGGGCTTATCATTGCTTTCTTTGGGCCCACCACTTTCTTGGCTTTGCTCTCAAGCTTTGGTAGTGCGTCTATCTTATATTACACTACTTACAAGCATCCCCTATTAATATTTAAAATTATATTTTATACAAATAAAGATTTAGGATTCCATTTTTTTATAAGGAAATATATAATTTATTAACAAAAAGTCGCTTTGGCCGAGTGGTTAAGGCGTGTGCCTGCTAAGTACATGGGGTTTCCCCGCGAGAGTTCGAATCTCTCAGGCGACGACCGTTTTTTTTTCTCTTCGCCCTCAAATTCTCCAAAAATCTCATCTTTTACCCTTTTTTTTCTCTCCCAAATCTGTATCTTCCAAATTTATTGCACTTACCTTCCAATATAAAAGCGTTTCTTCATCACAACAACAATCGAATCTCTCGATCCAAAGCACAAAATTATATAATCTCCACCTGAATTCCATTCCACAAACTCAGTAATCCATCACCTGCGTTAATCCTTTTATTTCACTACCAAACCAAAAGCAACGTTACATCACACAGAAATCACAGTCTCACTCCGAAGCTTTCTGGAGCTTGGAAGCTTCCAGATCGGCCGCCTTCCTCAGGAAATTATTCCCATCATCGTCCTCCTCTAGCGCCATCGTGATCGGACACGACCCCAAACCATCCGCTATCGCCAACATGATCTTCTTCATCTCCGACCGGAACTCCTCCAGATCCACCGACCCGCTCTGATCCGTGTCGAATTTCTCGAATATGGAGTCGTAGAGCCTCGTCAGCTCCTCCGGCGGCGTCACGACATCCACTCCGAAGTGCGATTCCAGCAGCCTCATCGACTCGAATGCCTTCCGCAGCTCCGACCGCGACAGAACTCCGTCGTGGTTCAGATCCAGCGCCCCGAATCTCTCGTCCGTGCTCTTCTTGAACTGATCCTCGTCCGCTACGAACGACCGCACCGTCGATCCGTCGATTATCACTATTCCCATTTTTTTCTTTACCCTCTGGATTCTTGTCTGTGTTGACTGACGTGTGGATTTATTAATAATAGCGTATAGGTCGGTCAGTGGGTAAGAAGATAAGCGATGAGTGAAAAACCCTTTGGCGCCCTTCGTTTATTGTCCGGTACTAACAAGTGGCGAGGAATATTCGATTTTTTCAAAATTCGAATATATTCTCAATTGATTCGATTTTTCAAAATTCGAATATATTCTCAATTGGTTCGATTTTATTGGTTTAATTGAAAATCTTAGACCAAAAAATAAAAATGGACCCCGGTTCGTGGTACTTTATTTTGCTTCAAAATATTTTGCGTTCATTTTTTGTTTCAATCGGTGAAAAAAAAGGTTCATGATTATAATTTTCCACTACACAAAACCAAAGCTTTAGAAAGAAAAAAAAAACAAAAAGCAAGATGGAAAAAACATGGTCAACGTAGTCAAACACCCCTACGACCAGACTCTGATCTGGTCAAAGACTTCAGTCTCAGCAACAACCTAAGCTTCCTCTCCCCACTGATAACATTTCCGGCGCCTTCTCTCCTCCTCCTCCCTCCTCCCACCTTCGCCGGCGACGTTGATCCCAAATTTTCCTGCGAACCCACCACCAGCACACTTTCCGGTGACCTCGCCACCGTTGCCGCCACGGTGTTTTCCTCGTACTCCACCGTCACCTCCCTCCCAACCCCTCCGGCGAGGATCTTCGCCTGCATCGCAGCCACCACCTCCCTCATCGCCACGTCAGCATTCCTCCTGTTTCTCAGGAGTATCTCCCCGACCTGAGCCGGTGTAAGGGCCCCACCGGATCTTATGCAACTCTCCGCCACGTAGAACAGCGCGTGCGACTCAACCCCCAAATAGTTCTTGGCCAGGACCCTGAAGGCGTGTGCTCCGCACGCGCCCAAGCTGACGTGGACATCCATGCGACCGCACCGAACCAGAGCCGAGTCCACGCTGTCGCGGTGGTTCGTGGTGAACACGATAATACGTTCGTCTCCGCAACACGACCAAAGACCGTCAGTGAAGTTCAGGAGCCCCGACAACGTGACCCGACCCTTGTCCTCGTCTTCTCCGGCTGCGTGCGGGTTCTTTGATCTCCGTTGATTTGGGTTGACTCTTTTCGGCTTCGAGAGCCTATCAGCCGTCAGATCAACCGAGCAGTCGATATCTTCGATGACGATAATTGACCTATTCGTGGTCTGAATAAGTAGAGCCCTGAGTTCGGAGTTGTCGGTGACTTTCGTCAGCTCAAGGTCGTACACATCGTAACATAAATAGTTAGCCATGGCGGCGATGAGGCTTGACTTGCCGGAACCGGGAGGTCCGTACAACAAGTACCCTCTTTTCCACGCGCGGCCGACACTACGGTACCACTCTTTGCCGTTAGCAAACGCCGTGAGATCCTGGGTTATCTGCGTCTTTAGTTGGGGCTCGAGGGCAAGCGTGTCGAACGTGGAAGGGTGACGGAACGGGACGGAGACCCACCCGGACTCGAACGAGCCGTGACCGTTGTTCGTGAACAGCCTTCTTTCACGCGAGACACGCTCGAAATCCTCGGCGCGTGAGATGACGTGACGGAGATAGGGCTGAAGGACAGTTTCGAGGTGTAGTTTAGGCACCTGGAGAGTGAAGGAACGTTTCTCGTCGAGGGAATCTTGGACGGTGTCGACTTGATGGGTCCACGAGAGGGAGTGTCCGAGGAATTTGTCGGAGACGGAGTGGTTAGGAGCGACGGCGAAGGTGAAAGCTGAGGCGGAGGCGGCGGAGGAGGAGGAGCGGGAGAGGGTGAGGCGGCGGCAGGAGGAGGAGGAAGGGTCCACGTGGACGAGGGAGCTGAGGTAGTTGCTGACGTGGCGGTAGAGGTGGTTGACGTCGACGCCGCAGTAGCCGTTGAACTCCGGGGCGGCGAGAGAGAGAGTCGTAGAGAGAGTGAAGGAGAGAGACAATCTGCGATGGAAGAATGTTTTGGATTACTGTCAGAAGCCCTAATAGTGACCACATCTGAGACAAAATCTCCATTTCTTGCTTTTGTTGTTGTTCTTGCTGTTCAGCTTGTTATATTACAGCAGCACTTGTCTTGCTCACTCGATATATATACACACAATGTGCGCGCGCATGCATATGCATGTAGATTTTATATTTTGTCTCTAATGATATTATAATTAATTGTATATATAATATACTGAAATAGTTATAATGGGGTGACGAAAAAGTGCATGACCGTTAACTTTATGACTTGCATGTTTGTTAAATCTGCCACTACAGGAGAGAGTTAGCTATATCATCGGTTTAAATATATGTGTGAGGTGTATCATCTCTACGTAAAACACGCATTAAAAGACCAAAAATATTCATTTATATATAAAATCAGCAATTAAAAGAGAGTGATAAAAGGCCATGTTAATTTAGAGGAGAGGGAAATACCAAAGAAATCATATATATATATATATATATACATATATATGTATATATATATATATGTATATGTATATGTATATGTATGTGTATATGTCTCTCTGTGTGTGCATGGAGCCCGACGTCTATTGCATGCTTACAAATCAACTTTTTGTTTTGCTTTTACTTTATTTTCTTTCTTTTTCTTTATTGGACAGATGTAACACAGTGTAGTTATGTGCGGAATGTTCTCGTAATAATGAAAAATATCTTCGGTCGATAAAAATACACATGACAAAAGAGACGTATACCTACATATATTCCCAACATGATTTCCCTTGCTATCATATAATCGAATGGGAAAATTTCATGGATAAAATTGTAGAAATCTGCGGAATAATTTTTATTGATAGTCAAAATAACATATAAATAGATGAGAGTCTTACATTTAAATAAGTAAAGTACACATAATAATAAATATTTCTAAATATATATTTTCCGGATTTGATAAGATCTCCATTATACGATATATCTCGTAATATTCTTCAAAATCCGGTATATCTCAACATCCTCCTTCAAGTTGGAGCGTGGAAGATCATGAAATGCCCAATTTGCTGAAAAGATGATGTGAAGTGTGTATCGGCCCTCACGGTTCTCTCCGACGCTCGTGTGTTCAAGAATCGAAGAAGACACAGCGGTTCTAACGAGTTCGGTTACCGAGCAAGCTCGGGCCTACATCTCGGCCGGACGGTGCCGGCGAATCCACTAGAGTCGATGGAAACAAGACCGGAGAAACAAGAACAAACGGTTCTCCACAAAACCGGAGACTCGTCATCCGAAAACCATCCGAAAAACAACCGAGAAGACAGAAGAGACTCTTACCGACCTTTGCCTCGACTCACCTGTGGCGGTCGTCGCCGGTCCGAGCTTCGCCGTCGCCGGGAAGCTCCTCCGCTCTCGCGATCTCCCTTCTTCTCCTCTCTCCCCTTTCGGCCTTCACCGTCTCGAGCCACACGCCCATTGTGTCGAAGACTAAAGAATAGCATTAGGGTTCATTTAACCCTATTAACCAAAACTCACCGTTTTGGTTCGGGATTAAAATCCCGCTTGGTTTCATGCGAGACTAAAGTCTCCCTTTGAAGTGGAGTCTTCTCTTTCTCACCAAAGACGTGGGCCAAGCCCAACAATCTCCACCTTGGTGGGAAAGAGAAACCGAAAACAAAGTAATAGACCTAGTGGGATTCGCCGTTTCCAGCACCGATCGACTTTCGTCGATCCTTCGACTTTCGTCGGAATTTAAAGCGAAACTTACCTGACTTACCTCACTTACCTGATGTCGGAGTTAGTCGCATGTCGCTGCCTTTGAACTTGATGAAGCTCCCGTCGATGACTCCTCGTGGCCTCGTCGCCTTATCCCCGCCACCGATCAGCTCATCTCTACCTGAAACACTTGGTAAACGTGTTAGAACGTTCACCCCGATAAGACTCGAACCGTAGTCCTATCCCGCGTTGCCCGACCGGCAAACGCTACCCTCGGTTGTATGACTCCCTAGACCGTCTAACTAACCCTCCTAGTAAAGTCCAAGACTATACCCGCTAGCTAACCCGAGGATTACACCTGACGTCTACCCGTCTCCTAAGTCTATCCCGACTTTCCCGAGACTAACCTGAGTCATACTACCGAAACCCGCTAGATACCTAGCCCGGATCCCCGTGAAGTCTATACTACCTATAGGTATACGACTTCTACCCTCGGACCCTAACCTGCCAACTAGAATTGTCCCACGGTTTTGTCCCGTGAAGACGTTCCTAGTCATCTACGATGCTCCACCGAGAATAAGAGACACGTGAGTGCACGTGCTCCACCTCGAGAGGGAGTGTCCTAGCGCCAACCTACACCGTCTCTACCCGGTGAAAACCCGACACCTCCCTGCTCACGTCATCTCCTGAGCATCCTACCCGAGGAAGCTCCACCTAAATGTGGAGACCTCACCTCCTGACCTAC